CTATTAAGCCATCTTCAGGATGGAAGCGGATGATGTTTGTAAATGAGAGTGGCTCCTCTGCTCTCTGGGTGTCCGTACCATGATTGATCCGTGAGTGCATTTACTGGAAGGCTGTGGGACCATCAGCATCACAGCTTTGGTGACCCAACACTTCCATTCTGTAATTTAAATATTCCTTATTTTGTGTTGCTTTCTTACTTTCTGAATCTGACAGTGGCTTTCTATCATTTTATGCTGCAGGCAAAAGAACATATGCAATAATACACGCTTAGGGGCTTAATCTCATTTTACTAGTGCCATTTGAACCTAGCTAAAAGGATTTTATTTGGAATTAGCAATTAATAATGCCAGTTTTGTTTTCTGGACTGCGATGTGTGTAAGCGTCACGTTTTGTCCCCAGCCAGTGTTGGCAGAGAGTTGTCAGACAGAGCATCATCTTTAACCGAGGTACAGTGTGTGTTCATCTGTTTCCCCAGCATCATTCCCCAGAATCAGTGAATTTGTGTTCCACAAGACAGAATTTGCATTCCAATAAAAAGGAAGTGTTTAAAAATATTTGGTGTAGTTTCATTTTTATCACTCTGTCGCTTTTTATATTTTAATATGTGAGAATAAGCTTTTGTTATTTACATTTTCTCAGCTGTGCAGATGCAGATAGAAGCTCTTAGTACTTGAAAACTTTCATGTAGATATTTTTAACTCATTCTAAGAAAATGCATTTTTTCTTCTGCCAAACTAAACGGCTTTGAAGTGATAAAAATTAGTGACAATAAATATTAAAAACGTTCAGCTTTAGAGTGGCACCTCCTGGTCTGTATTTAATTTCATGACATTCGGGTTATTTCACCCCAGCCTTGCTAATTCCCCCAGTTTCTCCCAAAACGTGGCTGAAGGTAGAGTCAGGAAACACCACGTTCTATGTACAAAATGGAAAAGATGGAAGAAGAGATGGCAAAGCATATTTTTAAAGGGGAGACATTTTCTTTTGCATGTAGAAACACTTGCATTTATAGGCACTCACTTCAGAAAAAAAATATCTAAATTAATATTGCTTGAAGTCAGGTGTATATTTTAGGATTAAGCTCTGAAAATACACTAAATTGGTTAGAAATAGCGTGATGCTTTATTTTGTGTTACGTAGGAGATCCCAGCCAGTTTAGAAGAAGGCAGTTCTGATAAGCACCACTCAAACGCAAGCAGTTCTGTGAATAAGATTCTAGATCTAGAAATAGGTTGGTAAAAATATATTCCTTTCCAGATGAGAATGTTGAGGCTCAAAGGAGATTTAATCTTTTGCTGAAGGTCACATAGGCTGTTGGGAAGTAGGAGTGTAACCTATCTCATCTTCCACTCAACCTTTTGTTATTTTAATATGCCTTTCACAAGATATAAAACTGCATATATTCCTAATTGTAAGTAATATATTTCGGCATTAGAACTCTTCTGTCTTTAAAAACTGAGAAGGGTTTCGTTTTTTTAAGTGTTTTCTTTGTCCTGGAATCAGATGGAGTTATTACTAACCAATCCTAAGTGTATGGTTTGTAATACGGGATATTCTGTTTTCAAAAAATACCAACCCCGTGTCAGTCCAGTGTTGCACGTTGAGGATGGAGAGATTATTGCTTTTAATTTCTACTTAGCAGAAGACAGTACACGCCGTGCCCTTACCAATGCTCGTGTCTTACATCTAAAACTGGTAAAAAGAGGAGGCTTCCCCAGCGAGCACAGCCTTGGCCTCAAAAAAGTATTTATTTAGGTTAAACAATCGTCATCAGGAAACGGTTACTTCTTGTTTGGAGACTGATCCCTGGAGAAAGGTCACGTGAACCTTTTCTTCTCTTACTACAGCAGCCAGTTCTCTGGGTTGAATCCTCTTTCTGTGATGCACTCTGTGTTCTGCTGATAAGTTACCTCCTTCTGTCTCTGATCTGACGATGCCTGGGCCATCCCATTATTGCAATTTTTGGAAATTTGCATGTTTTGGAGAGGAGAAAATGAGTGGCCAGGGAAGCAGAGAAAGGAAGTGTAGAGGACTTCTTAGAAATTGTTATTTTTAAACATTTGGTCTATTTATTTCCTATTTTTGGATAATTTATATTGGATTTAATTCAGAGTTTAAGGACGTTTAATGAAGAGAATATTGCAAACTCAGTTTGAAAAAAAGCTTTTTCACACACAAAGGAAGTCAAGTTCAGTGGAACATATGAAAATATCTTTTAAAATCTTTCTCATTTGGAGCACTTTATTGTACTGATTTAAAAATCCTTTTGTGAAGCCTTTGTTACACTGTAGCATTTCTTCAGTGCTGGTACATTAAGGATGAGTGAAGAATAGCTAAGTTATTTGTTTTGAGTTTTTTTTGTGGACCGTAGACAGTACAAAATGAAAGATTTGTTAAAAAAGAATATTAAATCGTTGTGTGTACAAAGGGCAGTTTTCTAAGTGAAAGATCGCAGTGAAATCCTTTTAAATTAATGCCCCTTTCCAGAAAATTCAAAGCGAATCAGAAAATATTTGTGGGTTTATTTATCAACCACATCATCCTAGTGTAAAAATATAATTCATAGCTGTAAATTATACTTGAGTTGTTGAATATGTGAGCAAACAATTCACAGAGTTTTTCTTGAAAGAGCAGATGTGTAAAATAGTGTCTTAAAACTGAGAAATGAATATTGGCACTGTCTAAAAAATTCACAAATTTCTGAAGATAAATGGCAATGAATGACATTAAAGTTTCTAAAATCTTGAGCTGGTTATACATTTTTTGTCTTTGATTTGCAAATCTCTGAAATAATGCCATTTATATAAGATGATGACAAAGGTGATATATGAGTGTCTGCATCAGAGTATTCCAAATTAGGCATAACCTACATAAAGTGTGTTTGAAAAAACCCTTTTTCAAAAATCAGAATAACGGATCAGGAGATCTTGTACCGAGAATACAGGGACTCTCAATCTGAAATAGTACAGAAGTACCGTTTATATATAAATATTTTCTTTTTTTTTTTTCCTGTTCCAGGTGTGACGAATGCAGGCTTTGCTACCATTTTGGCTGTCTAGACCCTCCCTTGAAGAAGTCTCCTAAACAGACTGGCTATGGATGGATTTGTCAGGAATGTGACTCTACGTCCTCCAAAGTAAGTTAATTCATTGTAAAGTCATGATTCCAGATTCTCTGTAAAACAGGTAAAAACCAGAATGTATGCAAAATGGAAATAATCAATAAAGAGAATTGAGAATTTTATTATGCCGGTTAAATGCTTTCTTTTCACATTATGTTCTGAGGAAGGAGTGAGTATTGATAATGTAACAGGATTGGTAACATTATTGACAAATGAAAGTATTTCAGGAGAAATATTTCAGAATACAAACCTCTAAGGACAGAGATAGAAAGTACATGTTTTTCTAAAGAAATGAAGATGATTTGAATTACTGCTTTTTCACTGAAACTGAAAAAAACTGGTTTTTTTTCATTGGAAAATCACATGAAGGTTGTTAATAATCTATATTGATTGGTATGCCTTGATCAAATATAATATTTTAGAGTTAGAACTTAATTTTTAACATGGATTAACACTCTTTAATAATATTGACATTAACAGTGTGCTTCTGTAGTGCCTCAAACCAGGACAAGTACCAACTGGTAAAAAGAGGAGGCTTCCCCAGCGAGCACAGCCTTGGCCTCAAAAACTGGTAAAGGCTTCCCCAGCGAGCACAGCCTTGGCCTCAAAAAAGTATTTATTTAGGTTAAACAATCGTCATCAGGAAACGGTTACTTCTTGTTTGGAGACTGATCCCTGGAGAAAGGTCACGTGAACCTTTTCTTCTCTTACTACAGCAGCCAGTTCTCTGGGTTGAATCCTCTTTCTGTGATGCACTCTGTGTTCTGCTGATAAGTTACCTCCTTCTGTCTCTGATCTGACGATGCCTGGGCCATCCCATTATTGCAATTTTTGGAAATTTGCATGTTTTGGAGAGGAGAAAATGAGTGGCCAGGGAAGCAGAGAAAGGAAGTGTAGAGGACTTCTTAGAAATTGTTATTTTTAAACATTTGGTCTATTTATTTCCTATTTTTGGATAATTTATATTGGATTTAATTCAGAGTTTAAGGACGTTTAATGAAGAGAATATTGCAAACTCAGTTTGAAAAAAAGCTTTTTCACACACAAAGGAAGTCAAGTTCAGTGGAACATATGAAAATATCTTTTAAAATCTTTCTCATTTGGAGCACTTTATTGTACTGATTTAAAAATCCTTTTGTGAAGCCTTTGTTACACTGTAGCATTTCTTCAGTGCTGGTACATTAAGGATGAGTGAAGAATAGCTAAGTTATTTGTTTTGAGTTTTTTTTGTGGACCGTAGACAGTACAAAATGAAAGATTTGTTAAAAAAGAATATTAAATCGTTGTGTGTACAAAGGGCAGTTTTCTAAGTGAAAGATCGCAGTGAAATCCTTTTAAATTAATGCCCCTTTCCAGAAAATTCAAAGCGAATCAGAAAATATTTGTGGGTTTATTTATCAACCACATCATCCTAGTGTAAAAATATAATTCATAGCTGTAAATTATACTTGAGTTGTTGAATATGTGAGCAAACAATTCACAGAGTTTTTCTTGAAAGAGCAGATGTGTAAAATAGTGTCTTAAAACTGAGAAATGAATATTGGCACTGTCTAAAAAATTCACAAATTTCTGAAGATAAATGGCAATGAATGACATTAAAGTTTCTAAAATCTTGAGCTGGTTATACATTTTTTGTCTTTGATTTGCAAATCTCTGAAATAATGCCATTTATATAAGATGATGACAAAGGTGATATATGAGTGTCTGCATCAGAGTATTCCAAATTAGGCATAACCTACATAAAGTGTGTTTGAAAAAACCCTTTTTCAAAAATCAGAATAACGGATCAGGAGATCTTGTACCGAGAATACAGGGACTCTCAATCTGAAATAGTACAGAAGTACCGTTTATATATAAATATTTTCTTTTTTTTTTTTCCTGTTCCAGGTGTGACGAATGCAGGCTTTGCTACCATTTTGGCTGTCTAGACCCTCCCTTGAAGAAGTCTCCTAAACAGACTGGCTATGGATGGATTTGTCAGGAATGTGACTCTACGTCCTCCAAAGTAAGTTAATTCATTGTAAAGTCATGATTCCAGATTCTCTGTAAAACAGGTAAAAACCAGAATGTATGCAAAATGGAAATAATCAATAAAGAGAATTGAGAATTTTATTATGCCGGTTAAATGCTTTCTTTTCACATTATGTTCTGAGGAAGGAGTGAGTATTGATAATGTAACAAGATTGGTAACTTTATTGACAAGTGAAAGTATTTCAGGAGAAATATTTCAGAATGCAAACCTCTTAAGGACAGAGATAGAAAATACGTTTTTCTAAAGAAATGAAGATGATTTGAATACAAACCTCTAAGGACAGAGATAGAAAGTACATGTTTTTCTAAAGAAATGAAGATGATTTGAATTACTGCTTTTTCACTGAAACTGAAAAAAACTGGGGTTTTTTCATTGGAAAATCACGTGAAGGTTGTTAATAATCTATATTGATTGGTATGCCTTGATCAAATATAATATTTTAGAGTTAGAACTTAATTTTTAACATGGATTAACACTCTTTAATAATATTGACATTAACAGTGTGCTTCTGTAGTGCCTCAAACCAGGACAAGTACCGACTTGTCAAAAAGATTAAGATTTTGACTCTTTGTTTGTCTGCACAGAAGCTTCTTTAGCACTGACATTCTTTTCTGTCGTCACCGTGCCCTCTCCAGAGAGACTTGCCAAATGATTTTCAAAACTGGATTTATAAACGGGTCTGATACCTCAGTGTGAAAATAAGAGAGCATTCTGAAAGTCTTTAAAGTTTTACAGGCTCTTCTGCCACTTCCTTTATACTTCATGGAATTTATTAACTTGTGTAAGGAAGCAACTCAGTATTTGAATGCAGAGGGACACAACTATGCAGAGATGGAATTAGCATATTTGGATACTTAAACTCTTAAAGATAGAATACACAAAATGTATAGTTTTTTTGGCTTGCTACTGTCCCTTTCCAACTGGAAAAATATGGGATTCACTTTCACCTGGGGGGTTAATCAAATTGTTCTTCCGCAAGGAGATCTGAAGACAGACATGGGAAATTAGCTGTCCCCTGCAGTTTGGACATCAAGCAATCTTTCTGGAATACCATTTCCGTGCAGCCCACTTTACAGGAGTGAATTAAAGTCCTTATTGAATTTCTGTCACCTGCTTAAACTTAAAAGGGGGCTCTTGATAACGTTAGTTAAAAGCTTCCCTCTCTTCTTTTCCTGGCTTTTTCTGAGTAAACAAAAAACCCCAGGTTGGTAATTTCTAAATGTGTTTTCCAGGATTATTAGCACACTCTGTACCAGGTGAAATTTTAAAAATACTTCATCATGTAAATTAAGTTGGTTGACTTAATTAATGGTTGACTTCACTTAGCGCAGGGCATGTGTTAGTTTTAAGGCGCGTGTCGAAAAATACAATGTTCTGAAGAGTGAACAAAGTTTATCATTAGAATAATGATGTATATTGTGTTATTTTAGGAATTATTGCCAATTAAAAAAAAAATGCTTCTTATTGTGTCTAATTTACTTTTTCATTCATAGAGATTTTTAATGCGCGGATTTAAATAAAGTCTTTTGCACTTTCAAGCACAGGCAATTTGAATTGTATACGAGTGAAAAATGTAATGAATATGAAAGATACTGAAAAATTGTCTTATGGGGACTCCTTGTGGTTTTGTTTAGTCACTTTCCCAAAGCTTTTCCACAGGGCTGTGCAGAGAAGTTTCTCTGAAAGAAACTGTCTTGCTCTTCATGTTTTAAAAAGTTTTTTTTAATGTAGCTTTTTTTGGGGTTATATTTTATGCTGTGGAACAAATTCAAACAAACTCCTTGCAGACCTTCGTTAATGCGAACGTATTCTTTAAAGGCTTAGGGCTTTGTTTATGTACTTAATCATTTTCAAATTCAATATTCTCCGTGGCTTTAGGGTTGTGTGTTATATGTCTGCGATTTCACGCAGCTTTTCCCAGCCAGGAGGAGCTGATCCAGTAAAGGCTTTTCCCGTCCCTTACTGGAGGGGGTGGCCTCTCTCAAACCTGTTCTTAGAGCTCAGAAGAGGAAAAGCATAGAGAAAGCAGCTTTCTTTGCTGCACTCTGCCTGACCTGGGGATGGATTGCCAGCCTGAGCTTCCAGCAATTCCAATTTCTCCGTCACTGGCTAAATCCAATTCTTGGTGTGTCACAGTCAAGTCTCCTGTATGGATTAGAGCAGCAGAATGGGATTGAGTTTCCAGCTTTGGCTAAGGAGACTACTGGTTACTTTTCATTCCTTCAACTTTGTTCACCTGTTTTGATCCCATTTAAACCACTGTTACACTATACATTTTAAAATTCCCCAGCAGCACCTTCTGTAGCAGTACTGGGCCTTGAAAACCAGTGGTAGGTAAATCACGCTGTTTCAGTGACAAGAGAGATTATAGTGGGTGGTGTGTAATGGTTCGGTTAGTTTTTATTTCTAATTACGAATTTCAAATTTAGACCTTCAGGAAAAGTTGCATACTGCTGACAACAAATAACGCCATTTCATTTTCAGGTTTTGCTAAGCACTTGCAGGTGTCAGCAGTACGAGAGATGCAATTTAGCGGTAATAAACATATGCTTTAAATTGTTATCTGCTGCAAAAGCCGGACGTGTTCCTTCCATTTGGCTCGTGTGAGTCACGGGGACTCTCCTGTGTCAGTTTTTCCAGCAGCGTAACACATCCCCGCATTACCCTGCCTGTCACATCACAGCCAGAGAGTGACTTTGCTGCAGGGCACCAGGGCAACAGCTTCTCTGCTGGTAATACTGGCTGTCACTTTTATGGAAGGGGTGATGCTCGCTACTAAGGTCTGACAAGCTCTCTCATCTCCAGAACATTGTAGATTTTGTTACATCACATGAAAGCCAAAGTAAAACCTCTAAGCTCTCCATTTCTCTGCCGTTATCCCTCTACCCTGCGAAAGGATTACGCTGCTTTCAGGCTTGCCAGACAGCACTCTGAATCATAACTTTGCTGAGAGTTTCAAATAATGATATTCAGAATTATTATTTTAGTTGAATTTAATAAAAATGAAATAAATCAAATATATAAAAAAAATAATTCACTATTCTGTTGTGGTAATATTCAATAGGAATAGATGTGGCCTGACCACGTTCGTTATGTCCGATAAGGGTCCGAGTGTGAAGTCTCATTACTGGAATTGGACTCCTTTCTCTTGCATCCCATTTAAAACCTTCTGTTTAAAGCATCTCCTCCAATTTACAAATTTTGCAGAGGCCCAAGGCAGCAAAGTGTTTCAACATCTATCCCGGTGGTCACAGTGTAGTTGGGTTTCTCCCTGCTCATCTTTACCTACAGTCTGTTTTGCCAAGCGCTGCAGAGCGTCCCTGTCAGGTCATTATTTGAGCTCTGCAAGATCAGCCGCCTTCTCTCTTGACTTCTCTTTAGTTTGCTTTTATTTCAGCTTTTTACTGCGTTGCATTTTTTTTCACCGGAAATAAATTGCCAATATAAATGCGTAGAATTCTCATCTCAGGAAATATTTTCTGGAACTACAAATACGCGACGTGCCAACCTCGGCAAGTAATATATTTTTTTGTACACTTTTTGTGTTGGAAAACGATCATGGGTGGTTTTACTCATTAGCCAAGTTGAAGCGTTTATTTACATATATCTCACTTTTACGTAGTGAAAAGACAAATGTAACTGGACACTGTAGTATTAAAATGCTGCATATAATGTTGGAAATAATATATTTAAAGTAAAAATAATTTGTAAAAAGTAAAATTTATTTCAGATCTCTAAATTGGGTCAGAAAAAAGAGAGCAATTAGATTTAATTCCTGTAGTCTGTGAAATTCTAGTAAAATACGAAACGAGTGGTTAAGAAGGCCTATGATGGGTGTAGAAGTTTCTGATCTACTCATGAGTTGTGCAGGTGACAATCTCATTATGGTTTGTGGAATTTAATCTTTTTCATTATTCCCTTTTCTCGAAGTCAGGGAGCATTTTCTCACACATGGATGATTACACCAAAGAGTGTTAAGAAGTAAAGAGCAGAACTAAAAAAAAAGCTGATGTCAAGCTCTCAAAATTTAGGAAATACCAAAATGAGAGTGGCATGCAGCACTTGAAGTCCTTTCATGTCTATATGTGAATTTACAGTCTTTAATTACTTCATGCTGTGATTTATTTTTCTATAGGACCCCTGCCTTCTCTGTCAGGAGTCACTGAAAGGGATTAATTTGGGTTGAGTATTAGAAGAATATTCTGCCTTTAGGTTTTGCAGTGAAAACTGAAGTGATGGTTTCAGGAACAGGAAAAAGAAGGAAGCTTGACCTTAATTTTGGAGTAGTTTAGTTGTGACCAGAAAATTGAATTTTGCCTTTGTCTCATCCCAGAGCTCCTGTGCGTGCCAGACAAATTAAAAATTTCAAATATGTAGATTTTTTTTTTTCCTTGTTTGCTGTGCCCCAGTTTGGATCCCTTGGACCAACGTGGAAAAAATGGTGAATTCTCAGAACTGTGGTGGGTGCTGGTGTAAGCCCTGTTTGGAAAGTACTGAGTCTCCATAATGGTGTGGTCTGGACTATACTCAATTTAATAGAAATTTTAATTCTTACTCCTCCATAATGGTGTGGTCTGGACTATTGCCAATTGAGTAACTCAATTTAATAGAAATTTTAATTCTTACTCTCCCTGTGCCTTGGCTTCTGTTTTGCAAAATGTTGATACTCCTCCCTTACTTTAGACGTTTTCCTTAGATTTGGATGAGTTGTTCTCCGAGGCTGCCTTTTCCTACAGGAGGGAGCCCAGAGAGTTACTTTAGATTAGCAAGGGTTGGAGTTCAGGTGGGATTCTCCTCGCTTGAGTGCACACAGGAGATGATTGAATCAGCGTGGCGTGGACAGACTTTATCTGGGCATTCACTAAACGTTTGGAACAACGTATTTTCAATATAGTCAAGATCCTTAACATTTTATATAGAAAAAAAAGCCCTATTTGAATATAATATATGAGGTTGGCACATGGTGGTAGGAT